CTTTGTCAGCCTAGGGATTATAGTCTCCCATTGTACTTCCTTTATGAATGCATCTATTAATGATACATTGCATTTACCTTTTTCATCACATTTTAATGATTCACCTTAGCACCTTTACTTTTCTAAAACAGCTTACTATCCCTTGTAAACGTTGTACTTACCTCAATATTGGTTGGTTATCGTATGCATACACCTACAGGTTGAAAACGAAACGAAGTCGATTTTCCTGCGCAACCTGGAGGACCACTGTTTAATTCAATAATGATACGACATGGCTGTTCAAACATTATTAACTTGTAGACAGTCGACTATTTGACATTATATCATACTTGATCGTGCCTGTAAAAATGGCATGCATTTTCATGTAAATTTATGTTTCTATGAAAATATAAATTATTATTATTATTACAAGTGACTCAGGATGAGTGACTGAAAGGAAGCAGGTTACAAATTTCACGCAGTTTATATACAGCTTACATATCTCCAGCATAACCTACGACGATAAGGATTAAAACGTCTAAGGGTTTCGCGTTCACGACTAGGAAAATGACTTTATCAGATATTTGTGATCCAATTGCAGCCGTGTAGATTTTTTTGTTTGCTTCAATATTTCGGTCGGATATTTGACTACACTGGAGGTCGGGCATAACAGTACACCTAGCAATATCTCATCAACCGAGAATTTCGTACTATTTCTGTGTAACGGATCAATGCTGAGCTCATTCTTCGACTTGAAAATCAACAGGAGTGGCTGATATTCACTGACATTCAAGTTATATTTAAACACTAATACTAGTAATACTCGTAGTGTTAGTGGTGTGAGATGTTGTAATAGTTAGATACTAGTACTCATACTAATAAAAGTAGTAGTAGTAGTAGTATCCATAACCTTAGGCGGTGATCGTCAATGATTTTCAATAAACAAACTTAGCATGTCTTCGTATTGACAGTGTGGCGTGATCACATTCCACATTGTGATAAACAATTTCTCTAGTTATTGAACTGGAATCTCTCTTCATCTCATCGTCTTAATTGATTAATTAATTATCAGTTTGTTGACAAGAGATTTTAGAAAGAGAAAAGTGAATTTACCATAAGAATGACCTGAAAGAAAGCGGAAGCATGTTAATGAATCATATGATAATGTGGTGATTAGAAGAAATAAGAGAAAGAGTAATGTCATTGTGTGTATACAATTATGATGACAAAGGAGTATGATGGCCGGATCATTGAGATGCTTGCATTGTGACAGCAGAACACAGAGATATCTGGTATAAGTGTTGTTCATTTGGCATGCTGACATAATGCGAGGACAGACTGTGAGAAGCCTACATTGAAACTCCACTTGTTGTAGTTTAGTCATATTCTGCTATCTCCGTCCATGCTTTATCTTCTGTACATTCCCTCCTTATTATCTAGATCGTTTTGTCTCTACAACGAAATCGGTGGCTCCACTGTTCGAGAATCCCACAGAAGACGACACCAATATTCTACTTACACGTTATTTTCTGCAGGAGGATATCCACTCTGGCATTATATGTGGACGTGCTTTCAAGCCATCTAAGGGAGACGTTGCTTATTATCACCAATGATATTCCTAATTGTGCTGGACTGGATTATGCGTCAGACAGTGGGAAACGAGAAGACAGGGATATCCTGGACCGACGCGAAGAACCTAGAAGACCTGGATTTTGCGGATGATTTATGCTTGATGTCACACAAAATCCAAGACTTACAAGCAAAAACCGACAAACTGGTCGAAGAAGCAGCAAAGACAGGACTCCAGGAGAACATAGACAAGACGGGGGTCATGAAAATAACCAACCAACAACAACAACAACAGCAGCAACATCCAGTGCCAATCACCATCAACGGGAGGGATTTGAAAGAGGTTACTTCTTTCACTTATCTAGGGAGCATTGTCTCAACCACAGGAGGAACGGACGAGGACGTCAAATCGAGAATCGGGACGGGAAGGCGAGAAACACATTCATCAACCTGAAACCAATCTGGAAATCTTCGTCACTCACCATCAACAACAAAATTCGGATTTTCAATACAAACGTGAAGTCAATTTTGCTTTACGGATCAGAAACTTGGCGGGTCACCAAGAATATTTTCAACAGCCTGTTGCATACCTTTATCAACAACTGTCTTCGCTCCATACTGAAGATTAGATGGCCGGAAAGAATCACAAACAAGAAGCTATGGGAACAAACGAAACAGGAACCAATCGCCCAACAAATATGCAGGAGGAAGTGGAGATGGATTGGACACTCGCTGAGGAGGCCGTTGGGTGACATCGCGCGTCAGGCCATAGCTCGAGTGGAACCCGAAAGGGAAGCGGCGAGTGGGACGTCCAAGGGTGACATGGAGGAGATCGTGTGAAGAGGAGATGAAACAGTATGGAATAACATGGACGCAAGTGAAAAGTACAGCACAAGACAGAAGCAAGTGGAGACGTGCAGTTGAAGCCCTATGTTCCACTAGGAACCCAAGGGAACAATAAATAATAGTAATAAAATAAGGGAGACGTATCATTCAATCAGTTTCAATTTGTGTATTTCAATCAGATTCTTGATCACCATTTTCGGCATCAAGTGGGCCACATACTGTTGTGTGAACACTCTTGGATTACGAAGGAAACTACGGTGAAATCATCACCTTGAATTATACGAATTCCTGTTGAATTGGCCACATTTCGAATAAATCTGCATATTGTGAATTCGGTTTCTGATATCACATGACCAGTCACATAATTAGCTCGAAACGGACTGGTTTCAACTGATTCGTCTCTCAGAATATTGTTGGCACATACGATGAACAACGGGACAAATTCCATTCTGAATTCTGTTTATCATTGCAAAGTTGGTCCCTTGTATCTGTTAATACCAAAATAATGCTGTACTTACCCGCTACTGTGGAGTTTTATAAATTTTTGAAACCTTATTAATTGATAAAATGATAATGATCACAAGGCCTGTACCCTGTATGTCTTACTCTAGCACCTGTTTATCACCTCTCTTCTTACCTTCCATTAACGCAACATTTCCTAATTCCCGCATGAATTTGACTCACTATAAGTATTTTACGGGTTGATCACGGACTGATATCAGTTAGAGAACCACTGAAAACCAGGAAGTACTGAACAGCTGCTGTTTCATCCTAGTCTGGGAATCATCGGCAGTACGCACCCACTGGGATTCGAACCCAGGACCTTCCGGTTACAAGGCAAGCTCGTATACCATTCAGCCACTGGGACCTGATTCGATGGCTCATGAATTCTAACTTCCACCAATTCGGGATTTAGAGCAACTGTAACCATCGTCGTTGGTGGGACATCCATCCACACACGTGACATCTAATTGGACCTCACTGGTCACGACTTCTCACTAGAACTCCAGGAAACTCCATCCTGTAGCAAATCACTAGCGAGCATCAGATTAGTTTTCTACAGTTTGGTTTGTAAGGGTTTGTTATGTTTTTACAGGTTGATCACGGACTGATGTCAGTTAGAGAACCATTGAAAACCAGGGAGTACTGGACAGCTGCTGTTGGGGTCGCGCTAAATCACGAATTGGTAGAAGTTAGAATTCATGAACCATTGAATCGTGTCCCAGTGACTGAATGGTATACGAGCTTGCCTTGTAACCGGAAGGTCCTGGGTTCGAATCCCAGTGGGTGCGTACTGCCGATGATTCCCAAAACTAGGATGAAACAGCAGCTGTCCAGTACTCCCTGGTTTTCAATGGTTCTCTAACTGATATCAGTCCGTGTTCAACCCGTAAAAACATAACAAACCCTTACAAACCAAACTGTAGATGACTATAGGTATATTATAGATTATAATTTAGACTTGAACCAATATATTGTAAACTATTCTAACAAAGTTTCTAGAGGTTTTTTTCTCCATCTTTCCAATTTTTAATGTCAAATAACAGTGTTTCATTTCAAATTGCACTTGTCAAATATGATCATGCCTGTACAAACGGTATGTCAATCATGTAAATGCCTAATTTATTTGATTTATATATATATATAATATTTCCTTTTCACTTACACCAAATGCATCATTGTACACGAATGAGAGAGACAGATAGATTCTTCCATACAAACGACGAAATAAATAACCCTTAAAGATTTAACTTATACCATCCATAAAAATCTTTTTAATCATGACGTTGCTTTATTCTTCTTCGAAAAACCATTACAGCAACAAGAATATTGACAGTTTCCGGAAAAAACGTCTTGAGGATTTGTAAAGAAATCATTGTATTATCGAAGAATCAAAAACAACAATAAACACCCATATATTGCAAAATAAAAAGCCAAACATTCTTTTAGCAGTATTGCTGAGGGATAAAATCCTCAGTCCCACGTGCTTAGAGAGGGTATCAGAAGATTCCGTGTTGTAGATTCCACAAGTGAATACTAAGTGTAGTTCCAGGTGACACAATACAATCCTTGGAAAGTATAGATATGTGGATGATGCGAGGAAAACGTCTATTTTCCAGAAGAATAAGGAAATATGATTCACACAGCGCAACCACACTTATACTATTCATAAAAATGTTTTTAAACATGATGTTAGTGTGTTCCTCTTGAAGAAACTGGATATCATGGAAACCATGACCTGTTAGGCAGTCAACATTGTGTTTCGGTTACCTTTAAAACTTCAAAATCATCCAACCTACAAAAAGAACATCTGATGCTTCTCGAGGTCAGCGGGTTTTGAAATTCACATTTAGAGTTTTATTGAAATTACAGAGGATAACAATATTTTGTCTATTGTAAAAGCAAACTTTATGAATTATGATTCAGAAGAACAAGTGAAATATTGTTAGTGAATAAGCAAATTTTAACGACCTGCAAAACAAATGTTAATTTATAGTAGCAAAAATTCACACGACAAGTTTTGTGCCGATGAAAGGGGAAAAAATAACTGCTTCTACTCAAAGGAAAATTGTTTCTGCATATTTTGTTTACAATCCCTCACACAATCAATTGTGACCCCAAAACCAATTCCAGATATCTTCAAATATATCTGATGAAGAGGATGGAGTATCTTCTGAATAATCAATTGCAGGCGCTTCTGTTGTTCTTGCAGACATTTTATATTTATACTCTGGTACAGTGAATGAATCTCCACAAAGTTTCTGTTGATCAATTTGTTTCCGGTAGTCATTTTCAGCGTGTCCATTAACTGTATACATATACGTTTGGAGATCATTTGCATATTCCGCAGGACAATCGACAAGTGTTGAATGTTCATTGAAACAGAACACGATTTCGTGGAGGAAAATTCCATTAAACTGAAATGATAGGAGGAAAAGAATAAAGAAGAAATTAGGTCTTCCTATTCAACGAACTTATATTAACAGTCATTCTGAATATATAAGTAGCAGTTGAAATGCGAAACTCTGCTGACATACAACAGCCTACATCATCACTTTCAGTCACAGCCTGTTATCGTTTTCAGGAGATTGAAACAAGATCGTGAAATAACAATATTAAATAATTTGCATTTACTGTGGATGGCAATAATAGAAGACAACAGGTTGAATACCTACATCGACAACTTCCCTGGCTCCTTGCTGAAGTGCACACATCCGAACACGACGTATAGGCAGTAAGAAGGAAGTCTGTTAGAGAAGCAGCCATCTAACTATCGCTTAACAAATATAAAGAGTTGGAAATGATGATGGTTTGGGCGTCACGTCCTGTGAAACAGAAAGAAAGGTCTGCCTGTTGTGGGCTATTGTTGGGCTTCACAAAAGTGGCAGAACAAAACTCATCAGAGCAGAGATGTTCCACTCAAAAGGCAAGCAGTGAACATTGAAAAAATTATAAACAATCTCAAATTCAACTGAATTGCGTTTCTAGAACCAACTTTGATCTCGTAATTTAGAAAATCATTGTTCACTTGTCAGTTGACACAACAAGGCTGATTGGAAAATTGCCATCACATTGTGTTACATGCAATAACAGCTGTCATAATGACAAAAGAAACATTTATGCGAAGCAAAATCGCTTGTCACTCACCTCATCAGCAGCACAGATGACTTTAGGTTGAGCATGATACTGGTTTAACAACGAATGCTCAAAATCTTTGGTCTAATCAAGTTAAAAGGTAAAATGAATTCATAGCGAATCATTAGTACTTTGTCAAGTAATAGAAAATCAATTGAAAATCCTTGAAAAGTGTCTACAGGTCATACGCGGTATTCCGTTAAGATTTTGACAACAGATTAATAGGTATCTGTTAGGAAGACTATCACTGACTGACTGACTGACTGGCTAGCCGATTAGAATGCTAATGGATCTGACACACCAGCCTGGATAGGGCGACACACCTCTCCTGGATTTCACTGCTGACTATCACTAACCAAATAACATTAACGTTCAAGCAACAAATATTGTTAACAAGGCAGGATTTAATGGATTCATTAAATCCCAGTGGAACTCTTCAGCTGAATACTCTACTTACTGGCTTATATGTGTATGCCGTTTGAAGTAATTACGTCGGATGATATGAGACTGATAACCTAACGAACTGCACTGAATCAATCGTGGAAAACGACAGATTAGAGTGTTCTTCAGGTCATGTTCGAATTGATAAGGGAGAAGGAGTATGAGAGTTTAAAATTAGGATAAAAATACGCTTAAGATCAAACATTGTCATCTGAAGGATAAATTGTGCAGCATTTATGACACCTCTGCAAAAACAAATTAACATTGATGAGTATACATAGAGGAATGTCAAAATGATTGGATCACGGATGCCAAAATGATGATAAGAGCGTGTTGAAATTGGTTGACCGCAATCGCCCCGAACACGCGTACTTCTATTGATAAATTCAACATACCAAATGCTAGCACAGTGGTTATGTGAACTGTCGCATCCCTTGAAGAAACGCTTCGGAACGTTGTTTCTGATTCATTACAGTATGAAGAGAAAACTGCGAATCTCAATGTAACCGGTAAACATCTGGTCTCTTCCCATGTTACTTCCCTACTCATGTACCCTTCAATCATTGAGAATACTGACTTTATGTAAATAGGAACCAATGATATAACCATTTCAAAATCAGAATTGACGGGATTGTTGTTTTTGTGCACTTAAAATATCCAATATCCATTCAGTGAGTGTCTGTTACATGAAATTAATAGTACTGCAATTGTAACCACTTCTTGTAGATGTATTCTTGTCAGACCTTCAGGCCAGTAATTTGCAACAGTAAATACAACAAACGGAATTATATCCATGATATGTCTGTGATATATTTCTATTGTCTGTAACAGCAAGTCAAAAGTTGAGAACTCATTGATAAAAATCAAATCATGCCATCCAAGCATTAACTTCTCAATGGAACACGTAGGAAATACTACAATTAAATTCCTAGATATCTCTGTAGTGACTGAAACGACTGATGGCAAAATGGAAAGATATAAGCTTCGAAAGACATCCTAGACTGGACAGTACATCCATGTCAGAGTTTTTGTTCTCATCAAATGTAGAAAGAACTTAGTCAGGACACTGTTGAATGCAGCACACGAAATCTGTTCTGACAGTACAATTCAAGATGAAATAAAGACTGTGAAGGATATTCTGTCTAAGAATTGATATCCTGACAGGTTCATCGATAAATACTCTAAAGGAAGAAATAAGCTCGAATAAAGCTATCCAACGAAACTGATCCAAAGAAATCTATATACATCAATTTCCCATTTAAAAGAGATGGTGTACAAGAAAGGTCAAACGAAGACTTGATAAGGCTATCAGGCAACTTAGTGTACTGAAGGACTGATCCTCTTTAACACCACCTAGTGGGTGCTTCAACAGTCTGAGGGAGGCCAGTCATCAGTCAACGACATGTCAGACCACATATATCAATCTGGATTTTAATGTGGAAGCAAATGCATCGGTCGTAGAGAAAGGCGATTTTCTGCTGGTATGATGGAACATTTGCTAAAGTGGCTGGAAACGCATGAGGTCAAAGTGCCTGATAGTTGAATGGCAAAGCACCTTTCGACTATGGATATGATTCTGATGCTATCAAGTCATTCACTGTTGTCAGAAGACAACTGCATCTGATTCAACGCTTTTCAAGTTACACATTTTTATACTTTAAATTCATTGCATAGAATTAAAATAATCTTACTGAGTATGTTTCACCTTCTCTGATCGATATTCTGTCATTGATTGTGTTTCAATAAAGGGGAAGTAAAGCAGTGTCTCGTTAGTTTACTTAAGGATGAATGTTTTAATTGGTGCAATCAAACGGTAATTATTGGATGCCAAACAGGTAATCATTACAAAACAATTCTGTTAAGTTAAATCATCCAATACTACTTTTGTTCAAATCACATTTGAATTCCTTGGATTCATCTTCAGTTTGGTACCCGTTTCCTGTTGTTGTTTTAATTCATTTACAATGTTTGTAGGCACTTTATTCAAACTATCCATCTGATAGTGTTGGAATGGACATTGTCACTAGTCAGTGTATGGTATGTTGGTTGTCAGCTGAGCATGACTGAACGAGGACGACATATTGTTCAGCCATTCAGACGCAATATAATGACTGATTATCCTGTCTTCTGAATAACTCAGCAGCAAGCTGGTTACTTCCAGTCCTAAACATTTATCTTTCACATAGACTAAACGTCGTATCACTGAATTTTTATTGATAAATTTTTAACCAATCAGAAGACAGCTCACACTCAATAAATATGCAAGTCATTGATCACGTAAAGCAACTGTATAAATAGCCGTATTTATTTAATTGGCACCTGTCTCTTTCCATGATGAATCACTTCTGCCTCCTCAATCAGCCTTTGGTTTCTTTTAGGTGTAGGGCAGGTAATCAAGTGATGGGTAATATGCTGTCATCATTTGGACTACGAAGTGCAGCCTTTCTATTTCTAGGACTGTCCTGTTAAAAGGAGTCTTGAATCAAGTGCTATCTAACCACACCAAACTTATCTATATCATAATCTTCAGTCTTGAATGAAATAACTTGTCTCAGAATGCGTACACGCATTTGGCGGTTTGCTGACGAGTCGACATCAGTTAGAGAAGTATTGGGAAACCATGACAAAGTACTCGACAGTTGTTTCGTCCTAGTACTTGAGACTGGGACTTTACAGTACGCACACACCAACGGGATTCGAACCCGGGACCTCCTGATTACAATGCGAATTCCACGAATTCAAACTTCTTCTGATTCGCGAGATATATAGTGCAGTCGTATGCGCACTGGTACAGGCAAGGAAGTGTATTCTTACTTTGTACCGAGAGGGTCCTTGTTTCGAGGTACTATCAGTATGTGCGTACTGGCGAAGAGTCAGTGTCAAGCACTGAGACGAAGCAACTTTCAACTACTCCCTGGTAATTTTGCAATGCTTCTCTAACTGATATCAACTCAAGTCGTCATCAAAGCTGTAACCAATCAAATCCATGCAAAGCAACACCTAATTATATACACATTTCTCGATCACATCATTTGTGTTTAGAAAAAGCCTTCTCATGCACAATGGGATGTCAGCAGTTGAAATCAGAAATATACCGAATTCGTTTTCATTCAACTTACGCGCTGGGTGACACGATTTTGAAGAGGTCTATGCCACGATTGAAATAGAGATATGGAGTTGGTCCATTACTGTCGACAACAGTACATGCTGCATAGTCTCTATACAGATGGTTGCTAGAATCAATGAAGAGGAAAAGACATGAAGAGAAGACGTCAGTTTCAAAGTAATAATATTGATAACTCAGTTGATTCTGGTTAGCAGTATAATTCAGGGCGGATGTTTCATCCTTTCCGAGACTAACTGGTCAGATAAACTTGTATGTTGCAATGAATGACTCGGGGCGACAGTGACATCTGAACCTGTCATGCACTAGTTGAGACAACGAAATCTTGTCGATTGTACTAATTAGGCATGATAGCCACCTGTAATGACTTCATCAGATAGTTGTGTTATTTCTACAATACATGTATATGAATTTTGACTGTGAGTGCTTTACGGAGTGAAAATAAAATATTTTTGCTGGATATTGTTTAAGAGACTTACTAATGCGTAAATTCATCCAACGGATTGCTCCAATATTTTGACAATTCATTTATAGTACTCTAAATAAAGTAAAGGAATGAAACAAGAATTCACTTACATTGTGTAATATTTACAATTGCTCAAATGTTATATTAGCATTATAATTACAATTATTATAACTAGTATTTTCATTCTCTTCGGTTCCGTATAGAACATACGCTTTCAGAAACACATCAGCCCACTAAAGATAATCGCCAATGACACTGGTGCAATATCGCGAACTGATGAGGGTTGGAGTTCACAGGTTTTTGACTGACATCCGCAGGAGCTTAAAAGTCAACTGACTGGTTCGTTAAAAACGAAGGCGATTATATCAATCCCTCGTGAATTGGTAGATGCGCAGTAACTTTCAAATGTGAAGAAATCTACGTGAAGTAGACTGAAGCTGCACAGTATGCGCAGACATTACGTAGTTACCTCTGAGAGACTCACTTTACGATGAACAGTGTTGCTGAAGCCTAATTTGAGCTTTCAGCAGATGTGAGTATTTGATGTCATGGAATTTAATGTTACTAGTAGGAAATGAACAGCTACTAGCGATATATTGATTCCCAATCCACTCAAATTTCAGGTTTGACTACTGGCTGACACCAGCTGTAGAACATTCAAAAAACCATGGAGTATTGAACAATACTTTCGTCGTAAGTCCTCAGTTGTAACCTCGGTCAATGTGTGCATACTACGGAAGAGTCAGTGCCAATCTACGATTGAACACCTGTCCAGTACTCCCTGTAGGCTTTGCAGTAACTCTCTGACTGATGTCATCTCCTCATCAGACCTGTATCCAGTCGAATTCCTGCAAACTAACACCAACAAAATATTCAAATTCTATCTACATTCTAACCAAATTTTCAACTGCATTTGGTCTGTTTAACAAATATCGCTCGACTAATGTCGGCCAACAACAAAAGACATTAAACTCACCAAGTTATAACGCCAAAATCTAGTGGCATACGAACAATTCTCGCTCATCCAGTCAAGCTGAGGAACCAACCTGAAATGAAAATAAAGTTTCATAGTCTTCTCAAACAGGTCCGAAGGACTCAAACATTTGTTAATGGAGGTAGTTAGATTTCACTCACCAAGAAGAGATTTCTCATTTACTTGGATATGAACGACACTTATCTGTGCGAAGGGGGCTAGTGACACTGTCTAGTTGAATTAAGTACAGCGAGATTCGAAGTCGACACTAATTGGTTGAAATGTGAGTATTTGAGCCAGTGAGTGACATATGCGTGAATTTCCATCCTGCACAGTGACTGACATTTTCTCTTTTTCTTATGGTGCCAATCATTCGATGATGCTTTCGAGATACAGAGTGTACTCAGGCACATGTTTTCTTGGCTTTCAAACTAGTGGCACTCTTGTCTCTAAAATGAAGTAGAAATATCAAAGGGGACTGGTTCATGCTTCAGATCGAACTGTGTGCTTTAGACTGCTATGATACGTGAAGATCCTTAATGAAGGGAAAATATTCTGCAGTAAACTACTCTGAGAATTCTGTATATTGTGTAAGTGTTTTGTCGCAAATAAAGACAGCATTACTGTTTGAAGTAGTAGTAGTAGTATTACTTTTTTCACGTCTGCTTGAGTTTTGTCCATTACTGGTTTCCAGTAAAGTATGCTAGTCGAAGCAAACGACCGTCAAAATGACTCTTTACAAACAATGAGAGTAGCACATTTCAAAACACGCATTTCGAGAATCCTCTACTGTGGAAATCAAAGTGAGTGTTAAAAATAGCTAAGCAGAGTAGCAGTGTCTAATATTTCCTCAAAATGTCTTACAGTTGTCTGATCACTTACCCACAGGAGTCTTCAGCGTTAGTCCGAACCAATTTCAGTGCATGAATTCATCAAGGTGATTCTGTTGTGAATGTGGCCGAGTGAAGGTGACTGTCTTTAACTCCTCCACATCTCGCATTGTCAACTGCATATCTCGGTGAAGTCATTACCTAACTTACCATTACATTAACTTATTTTAGTGCTTCCTACAAAACGCTACCGGATTACTGGATCTGGATAAAACCTGGGACACACTTGGTATACTTCATCCAAATTCGCACGGGTTCACTACGAAATTGTCTGAGTGGTTGTTCACTGTCATTTTGATGGTCGTTCGCAAGAGTCGCTATACTTTAGCCTAACCCCTTACAGCATTTTGAAACGATTATTTCAAAATTATTTTTTAACTGTTGTTGAACAAATGAATTCTTCACAATCTCTAGTGTTCAGAATGAATAGTTTTAGCTCTGAATAAAACTATGAATGTCTTCGCTGATTGCACACAACTTCCTCGATTATCAAGCACATCCATCAATTATATCTGCGCACTGTTAATTCCTTCGATCAATCAACTCAGGAGAAAGTGACAATCGTGATAGCAAGACATGATGACACAGCCCAAAATCTCAGTGGCAGTTACCCTTGTCTATTTTTGTGATTATCATGTGACGACTCTCGGTTAAAAACCATAATAAGCTCATTAAGTTTGATACCAGAACACCAAAATTCGCCGATCAAACTTCTCGTGGGTGCCCTTAATTAGATTGCCAGCCCGACGCACTTGTAGGCAATTCACCCGTGACCTGATTGATTAGTGGATTTCCGTTTGCTGACATCATGACCGATCATTTATTACCGGCTTTTATCTATCATCAGTTTTGTTCTCTGCTAACACTCATCACTTAAGAGCTCACTGTGTACCTCTCTTATTACATTCATTACCCTTTTGTAACTGTAGAATTCCTATACATTTCAGAAAACAGACAAAGCCAGTACTAAGTCATCCCTGTTTTAACTACAGTAATTCACAGAATGAAGATACTTGTGAAGGAAATAAATCCTGGAGGACATGTGCTTCATTTGAATATGATCAGCACACCATTATCAATCCTGAATACCCAGTTACCCTCACTACAAAATTCAACCGATTGATTGATTGACTGAACAAAAAGTGAATAGATAAAATTGACAATAATATCAAAACGACTACCTCAGTTTCGCAATATCCCATTTCTGACCATCTTCTACATGACACTAGAAGTGAAAAACAAGGCAAAAGACAATTGAACGAAGAAACAGATTTCTACACCAACGAAGTCATCTTCAAAATTAAGGCGGTATTGCTGACATAAACTCAACTTATCCATCTCCTCACTTATATCAAAACAAAATTGAATATCTTTACGTTTAGTAATGCAGGATGTGAGACGTTGAGTTAGTGGTTTGAGAGTAGAGTGCTGAATCAACGTCTAAGACGTACAATACGAATGACACAACGCCATTGTCATAGATGTGGCAGATATTATCAATAATCAAGTTAAAGGATAAGAAATGTAACCCCAGTGAGAAGCAACGAGCATCACATACAGTAGATCGTGTCATGAGGAAACGAGAGTTTATGGGTAGCTATGAAGCGCACCATGAGAGACAGCAAGGAAGGAGGCGAAATGCTGGTGTACTACTGAAGCCGTGTGTTCCTCTCAAAACTCAAGGAAAAATCCATCATCATACGTCCTCACAACTTAAACTGCCTTTATACAAGTGAACATCATCACAAATATTCCAATAAATCTAGCCACACGTACACGGAAGATCAGAAGTGAAACTGCGATATGAGAGGCTGATATGATTATGAGCAATGAATTCTGCTCGCAACGTCGTCAGTATATATCACTGAAGGACACTGTGAAAATTAACAAGTAAATGTCTTCCACAATTGAATTGCACTCTACCACAGTGGTCAAGTTCTATCCTCATATGAAATTGAGATTGTGTCGTATAGTTAGAGACTTTGGATCACAATGGAACTCAAATAATTTATCTAGACCTTTTAGTTGAGCTGGTATACTGCTGGGTCCAGGGAACCTGATTACTAGGGTTCCAATCACTCCCTTTCTGTCGTTACTGATTACAATCAATATTGTGCCAAAAGGTCTTCAGACAGTGAAGAATTTATCTATCTGGTCTTCAATGTGTGAGGAACGGTCGATGAGTGAGTCCACTGACTAGAGGCAGTTCCCATTCGGTTGCTAACGCACGTTGGTAGAAATACGCAAAACACCTGGCTAGGTGAAGCCATTTCTAATCTTCATTTGGAGTGCACATTTTTAATAAATCAAAATTTGGAAATTACAATTAATTTTGACAATAAGAATGATTTTGATCGAATACATTCACGTACCTTTCTGTGGTAACAATGAGTTGGCAGCCAACGTACATGCAGTAAGAAGGTCTTATTAGCTTCAGTAGAGATCAATATACTTTGGAGTATGACCAATGCACTCAGAATTACAATTCTATGAAGGAATGTGGAAATAAAAGAAATCAAGTACTAGAAGGAGTGAATATATTCCAGTTGAGATGATTAATAATATGCTCATAGTCATGTGTTAATATGCATTGAAGGAAGCTAGCCTAGCCCAGCCTTACTATATCTGTCATCGGTAGTTTTGCCGCATTGTTCAATGCGATTAGAATAAATTAGAAGTAGACATCAAATCTCTCGTCCTTCTCTGAATCAATTCACTTCAGACATGCGCTAACATTTAAACATGTTTATTTTCATTAGATTGCGAAACTTGACTCATATGTCAGGGGGAATATTCTCGACAAACCTTCCTCCTGCAGATTCCTTTACCACCAAGTACTCACACTCAGACGTCTGTCCAGAAAAGGCAAACAAAAACGAACTCTTGCAGATTATGAACCAGCTAAGAACCTTTCACATTACAAACATGCAGTGAAAAGGACTGAGATGGATTGGATAAAAGCGGAGAGGAGACATTTAAGAGACATTACACAGAAGGTAGGTCGTCGAGTGGGACCCAAATTGAAAGTGATGAGTCAGGCCTCAGCTGAAAAGTGACACTGCGAAGATCACTTGCAGTGAAAATGAAAACTGATGTCTAGTTATCGAGGCAGCTAAGAGTGACAGGAAAGATTTAAATGCACCGAAGATGTAGTACTGAGGCCCTATTTTCCACTGGTAACTCACGAATGAGAATAAGTGAAACACATTCGACAGTGCAGACTGAACGCTGCCCTGAAAAGAAAACATATCCAGCCGCCAGGCATGTATGTGTTCATCAAACAACTAGTTGATTGAGACAATCAAAAGTGGACAAATACCCACCTCATGTTACCTCCAACTGTGTCTATCAATTCACATGTACGTGCCAAAGCATATACGTCGGAAGAACAGAGAGAAGGGTTATTGTCCGCATTTCTGAACACATACCAAAGAACCTGAGACTGAAAGGTCCACAAGTATTAAACAGTGCAATTGCGCATCATCTATTAGACACTGGTCGTAATGTAGACAACTTGAAGTCATTCAAAATAATCAACAAGCAAAAGAAACCTAACTTGCTACGCTTTGCTGAAGCAATTGTTATCAGACAACTTAAACCAAATCTATGTACGCAGAAAGAGACAGTGGTGAATCTTGCACTGCCTTGGTGACAACATAAAAAATATGCAATAGCTTGTTTTTGTTTCCAAGCCTAATTGCCTATTAATTCTATAAATATTTATAAACTGTCAAATATTGATCACAGTTCATTTGAATTATTCTATAAATAGTCAGTGTTTGTAACTCTTAATTAGTTAAATCATTCCGGACTAATGTTACTTTTACTTCCTACCAATTACTCTTTGTGATCATGGAAAATTATGTTCAAATCTTTAATGTAATGTAATTCATATTTTTCATCGTTCAGGTTGTAACCAGTTGAGAAGAATCCTCGAAATAATACAAGATGAGATCATATTATCCTGGTACAATTGTTGTTCTTGCTTTGTTCAAGTTTATTAATGGGAAGAATTGCATAAAGTTTTTAAAGAATATGAATTAACATGCATCAACCAGTAAATGTGTAGGCAAGTAGAAACGAAAGGTTGAGTCGCTATGAGAAGTACAACCTTCCCCGGTCTGGCACGAAAAAAGAATGGCGTTGGCCAGAATTCCGCGTGAGCAGAAGTGATTTCTCAACAAGAATAACCTCACTGCAATAGACAGTTTGAATGCATGGAATTGGATTCAACAATGTTATCTGTAAGCTGGCGCACTTGTTTTCATAGGTCCCCACCATAAAACGCATACACTTAGTTGACCGACAGTAACAGAAAACAGTCTGTAATACGTATAATACTGGTTCAATGGTTCAGAACAAGAATGTTATCTAGCCACAGTACAAGTCGGTGTTTGATTCCCTGCCACCTGTGCACTTGTCATTCTTGTCTAGTTAACTAACTGGCTTGTGTGTTATGGTCGGAGAAGAGGAATTGTGGCACGTAAATGCGACTATCAACCGTAACACGTAAAAGTGAGGAACAACACTACCACGGAAACATCAGATCTAAAAAGGCCTACAGACATATGTTCTAGTCAGAACATAAAGCAACAAGAGAAGTATTGTGTAATATACAGTGGGACAACATTACTAACTCACCCCATTGTTCGACAGCTTCTAAATTGTACAAAATCATTAAATGAAAGTCAATTCATATTTGAAAGGTGAATAACTTTGCAAACAGATTTCCAATATCAACGTAGACGTTATCAAAAGATAAACAGACGGCAATTGAGGCAATTATGAATGATCAAGTAAGCACAAGATAGATGGTTCGACCTAGTTCGGAACACCTCGGAAATACGAACATCCATGACTCCACTGAGAATGAAGTCGAAAACGCCGAATGACGAGCCTGCCGACTCTCGCCGATTTTCTACTAGTCCTTCTCCCTAGCTGACGACGATTCTTCACAGAATCTGCATTACAAAAATTAATGCCTAATTCGTGCCTGTTCTAACAGAATTACGTTTTATAAGGAAATTAGTCAAGTGACTTGGACTGTGGAAACAGGGTTTCATATGTATATATTTTTCGACGGCGAGTTAGTGTGATTGCATGACACCAAATTTTAACGCCTTATGACGGCATTGGGAATGCTTGGCTTCCTGACTACAATAAAACTCCAATCAACGCTAAAGACTATACAACATAAGAATAAGTATTCCTTAGTGATCTGTCAAGCTAAGCGACTACTTAAATATTGATTTGAGTAGTGTTATTAGTAGAACATCACAAGATGTGTAATGAAAATGTACTTGAGGGGAATCTCAATACAGTGAATGGAAAGTGAATCACCAGTGGTTAGGTGTGGGAAGGTTCATGAAAGCCTGAGTAGAGCATAAAAATAACACACATACATACATAAAAATATGAGCAACGTACCTTCCTGCAATAAGACGAACAATTCACGCCCGTGGCTTCTCTTCTTTGAGAAGACAAATGCTGTCACTATTTATATCTTACAGGCAGCCAATAGAAAAGTGCACCGACAGAATTCAGCGTAGACTGTTGATGATAGAAACTATAGTTCGTTGTACAAATGTGATAGACGTAATAATGCGTAGGCGTCAATGTTATCAGGAGAACTCATTCAAAATATTTACTTCTCATTAAAAATCTGTGAGTAATTCTTTCTTTACTTTTGCCTTGTTTATCTATAAAATATACAATGTCATAGATTCTTAGTGAAGTCTGTGAGACGTGTATTTACCGGAATAGAAACAAATGATAATTACGAGGTCACTATTATTAGTAATAGTTTAATCAATTATCGTTATTATTATTTGGTTCTTTTGGTAACAAAGTCTAAAGAAAGCAGCTTGTCTTTACAGTGAAAGGAAGGAGAAGTCATCGATGACTCACACATTAAAGTGTGTGTACCAGTTCGTAAGCCTTTGTGGAAGTTAATATATTGGATGTACTGAAGAACGTTTATCGGTCTGTTTTGCTGAACACTGTCCCTAAAGGCGGGAGGGTGGCGAATACTGATCAGCAGATATGGTAGTGGTCACAAATGTTAATCGCTCCGATCTGTAGGACAGCAACATGCAATTTTTTAACAGTTCGAGAATTAAACATCAGTCTGGGTTGTACAGATCTAAATTATAAATAAAAAAGTGCTTTTGCCCCTACCATCTACAGGCCTGTTCATCTTCTTGTCAAGATGCCACCCATTGGGCCTGACAGAAATTCCTGAAACATCTTACAGGTCAGCTTGTCCTTCAGGTTCCAATTTTCCAGATCTTTGAATTCACTCCTCACTCAAATATCACTTACCTACCTCACAATGATCTTTTTATTTACGCACTATTATACTCTACTTTATGTTAACTACCTAGGCCATTATTAAAGCTAAACCTTGCTCATTGTCCATGTTTGTTGCTTGCCCAAAGTCTGGTTGCTTTGATTAAAAACACAACAACACCAATATTTGAACGAAGCTATATCTTCATAGAAAGCGCCATAGTTTCCATGCTTAGACCAATATGGTTAGCATTACACATTGCAAATATATCCTATCATTTCAAGTACTGCGCAAAATTTTCTTCTCTTCCTGAAATAGCGTTCAATTACGTGGTGGCACAGCACTCATCCAGATATACGCTGTTCACTGGTTGACCATAACTATCAGCAGGAAACGGAACGAAGTTTGGGTTGTCGCTCAACTTTGTTGGTGACCTTAGTAAATGGCTTACAATTTACCATTTATAAGAACCTGTTCTGATTGCTCGTACAATAATCGAACAATTTAAACTTTTGAAAAAGTATTAATTTTTGACACTTCAGGATTGTAATTTATAAAATTACTGATCTTGCCTGTAAAAATGGCATGCATTTCTTGTAAATTTACCCGTTTATACGAAATATAAATTATTACTATTATTATTATTATTAAAATGACTATGTACTACCACATTTGGGACTTATAATAATAATAATAATTTATATTTTCATATAAACATAAATTTACATGAAAATGCATGCCATTTTTACAGGCACGATCAAGTATGATATAATGACAAATAGCAGATTGTCTACAAGTTAATAATGTTTGAACAGCTAAATATTTGATATATATATATATATACACTCATTGTCTGACCCATGTCGTATCATTATTGAATTAAACAGCCATCCTCCAGGTTGCGCAGGAAAATCGACTTCGTTTCGTTTTCAACCCGTAGTTGTAGGCATACGATAGCCAACCAATATTGAGGTAAGTACAACGTTTACAAGGGATAGTAAGATTATCAATTTTTTAAAGTTCAAATTGTTGAACTATATAGTACAAGCAATCGGAACAGATTCTTATAATTGTTAATTTGTAAATCTTCCACGAAGGTTTCCATCGAAGCTGAGCTACAATCACGTGCTTGAACGCTATTTCAGGAAGAGGAGAAAATCCTGCACAGCTACAAAGTGATATAAAATGCAATCATGAATAATACATTATTGGAAGTATATTTAGAAGAAAAATACAAGAATAAGCTATACAGTACTTGATATGATAGTGCACATTTGCAATGTATGATGCTAACCATATTGGTCTTACTGTAGAAAACTATGACGTTTTCTATGTAAATAAAGTTATTCTCAAACATGAGCGCTGCTGTTATGTTTTTGTTTTTTTTACCATCAGAGCAACCGAACTTTATGCGAGAGAAGAGTGTAAATGAGAAAAAGGGAAAACAAAAGAGTAAATTTCAGCTTTACTAAAGGCCTAGGAAGTTGAGATAAAATAGAGTATAATAGTAATTAGGTAGAAGGATTATCATGAAGTATATAAGTGACATTTTAGAGAGAAATGGTTAGAAGGATTGGAACCTGTTGAATATGGTGACCTGTAGGATGTCTGGCGAACTTGTGTATGGCCCATGGGATAGCATCTTGACGAGAAACTGAGCAGGCTTTTAGATGTTAGGAGCGAAAGCATTATTTTTTTTACAAGCTAAAACTGTACAGTCATTATTGTTTTAGTTTGTTTTTTTTTAATTTTTTTTATGAAGTCAATTTTTTTATACTTTCAGTATCTAAACTCATGTTTATTTCTCGAGCTGCCAAAATAATGCATGTTGCTGTCCTACAGATCGGAGCGATTCACATTTGTGACAAACTACCAAATCTGCTGATCAGTAGATCTCGTGAAGATCTCTTTCTTAGATTTTGTCTTTACTTTCTTTAAGTTATATTTTACAATAGAGTCCCAGTGAAATCTGTGAGACGTGTACTCAACTGAATAAAAACAAAACATAATTACGAGGTCACTACTACTATTAATAGTATAATTAGTTAACTATTATTGTAATTATTGTTTATTTCTTTTAGTAACAGTGTTTTATTAAAGTGGCCTATTTTCACAATGAAACATGTGAAAAGTAATCAGACGATCACACCATCATCGTATGTTTGGTGAACTATGAAGCTTTGTCTGCGTTATACTTGCGTCTTTGAAGGAATTCTCTCTTTGTTATCGTGAACTTGACAATGGAATTCTTTTCCTCTCTTTGTTATTGAAATACTCACGCGTTGTTTTCTTTCTCAAGAATGATCCAGTGTTTGAAAATGATTTTAGTAACCAGAGAGAGACTCCGTGTGTGTGATATTGTCAAAAGAGAAAAAGCTTATCTAAAATGAACTTGCAATGCCAGATAATATTATTTCATTCACAACTTATTTTGTTGGTGGTGATTAGGAAGCATGTTTTGGGTGCATTTAGATCTCACTAGTGGGTTGTACATGCATTACTATGCATGCGGTGACGGTTTATTCAATAAGTCGCATTTGTTCCTATTTGATGGCTATAGGCTCGTAATGTTCTCTGCGGGTTTTTTGGTGTATTCATTTTCAATGAAGATGTGTCTGAACTGATACGAAGTAACGCGGGCTCCTTGAATACGACGTGATTTTTCCTCTCTAACCGGAAAATACCTATTTTGTGAATTATCCGCTTGGGAAACCTGATCTTCCTAGCCGGTGAATTAAATTCAACCATTACTTACATATTGAATCTCTGTGTGGTAAGTCCAGCTGTCTCGAAATACTGTCAAAGCTTCAGGTGCTATTTTTTTAGCAGCATCTTACTCACTCGTTCAGATAAACAAGACTTGTTGGTCTACCACGTAATTGCTGTGAAGCCGATCATCCAGAAAGTACTAGGTAAAGTCGAAAACCTTTTCATTTCCTTGTCATGTAATTTTTCAGTCTTATTCTTGTTCTTGTGAGTAGATACTGTTGCACTCTTATTCTTATACAGCATAAGTTTCAGTGATGGTTACCATGGCTGTCGAAGTAACTTTAGAAATGGCACTAAATCACCTTACTTTGTAGTCACAAGGGCTTCAGCGAGAGAAGGCAAAATCCCAGGGACACCAACCCTAAGTCGCATATCCATCCTAAAGACTCGTGTGGGTCTCATCTGTCCTGATACTACGCCTGCATTGCCACAGTCTAGTACTGAAGCGGCACAGGCAATACTAGGGGGACAGGATACTACACCTGCATCAACTGAAAGCCAGTGTGTGAGACACAGCAAACCTGAAAGGAAACGCTCAGGACGTCATAAGACCTCGAAGGAGTCACCAAGTAAGGAAGAGGAATGCCAGGTGTGCAGTATCATAGTTTCTAAAGCTGACTCACCGTTTGAATGCAGTTTTTGCAAACGGTGGGTGAATTGCCGTTGTGACAAAGAGGTGCCGAAAGCATACTACGAGTTTATGGGAAATAACCCGTGCCCGTGGTTTTGGTACATCTGTCCACTTTGTCGCCCTGGCATAGTCCCATAGAGCGTGTCTGCGGATAGCAAAAACAACACGCCGCCCTTGTGTCCCAACAAAGTCTTATGCAGCTCCCCACCTGCTAACATCACACTGCCAAAACTTGGCACAGAGAGTAAGAAGGACACTCCAGTCCTACTGACCGAAAATGCCAATTTTCACAAGGTGAAGATTCACAAGGTTGGACCTAAAAAATCAAGGAAAGATAGAGTTAGAGAAGCACCACTTGCATCCACAAGCAAGCTTGGCAACACAACAAAGGCTGGCCAGAACCTGATGAACCCTGAAGTTGCTGATGCTGCAAAGGAATACAAGAAGCCAAAGGCCAAACCTAAGTCTGAGGTTAATTGGTCTAATTCGCTCATCCTCTTTAACGTACCTGTGAGCAAGGACATCTTGCTTGAACAGCGGGCCCTGTTTGATCAGGAACAGTGGTTCAACCTGTGCAATAAATTAGGTCTGAACACTAGTTCAGTGAAATTGTGCAGGCTGTACAGGGGTGTCCACACACCTCAAGGTAAGCCATTAAGGGTTACCCTGGACTCTGCCAAAGAGGCCGAGATGGTGCTATTGATGGCTAAGGTACTAGCTATCGGCAGAAGTTTGAACATAA